TAAATAAATAAATAAATAAATAAATAAATAAAATTCTCCTAAGAGGCCATAACCAACTGAGCAAGATGTCAATCATGTTTTATCCCCACCTTCAACTCTAGTGGCCTTTCATGACCTTTAAGTAAATCTTTTGATTTCACCATAACCTGTTTTGCCTTTTCAGTTTCTCTGATACACAACCTCACGCTGTCTAATTCCTAGAGTCTTAGTATCAGAAAGTGCTAAGGTGTAAATTCCGTTCTGATTTCTTTCATCTGTGTCCTAACAGAAGCTTTAAAGTTTCAGGACAGACAGACTTTGTGCCTGGCCTTACCTGCCCTTACCTGCCTTACTCTAGACAGTTCAGAAACACCTAACTACTTGTAGTTCTTCGAAGGTGCCCTATGTCTCAGACCCCCTTACTTGCCTCATGTGAGTCTTCCTGTCTAGAATCTTCTCCTCTATCTTCCTCACCTAGATAATTACTTTTCAAGCTCTAAGTACCATCTCTGGCACTAGCCCCTCTAGAAGCCCTTCCTGTTCCTTCACAAGGTGAATTAAGAATCATAGGGCCTGTGTTAACCTGGCTGTCACTCTACTTAGCTAATACTATATTACACCAAAATCATCTGTTTATATGATAGCCTTCAGACCACACTGCAATGTGTCTTTTTATTTGCTGCAAGTTCTGAAGTCCTGGGCACACAGCAGGTATTTAGCATATATATATATTTTTTTGGCCTAAAAAGTGAACTGAATAGATGTATTCTAATCTAATATGTGATATCTTTTCTGGATATTATTTATGTGGCTCTAACCCAGAGATCACCAATATATGTGTAGAAATTATATACATCAGTTGGGGTACCTAAGTGGCTCAGTCAGTTATGACTCTTGATTTCGGCTCAGGTCATGTCTCAGGGTTGTGAGATTGAGCCCCAAAACAGGCTGCATGCTGGGCATGGAGCCTGCTTAAGATTCTCTTTCTTCCTCTCCCTTTGCCCCTTTCTCCCCCCACCATCACACTCTCTCTCTTAAAAAAAATTAAATTAAAATAAACAAAATAACTTAAATGCATCAGCATTATTCTTCCAGGATTTTTAAAATCATAGGACCTTAAAATTAGAAGGACCCCCCAGAATCTCCTACTTGTTGCCGGGATCACCTTTACATAGCTTTGGTCACTCGTTATCCATTTTACTTTGTCATTTAATTTAATTTAAATTTTATAACCGAAGTTGGGGGAAGAGGACGATTGAAGAAGAGAGTTTCTTGGGTCCCTTCTATCCAAAGCTAATCCCTAATATAAATTCTCTTTTCCAGAAGCCTGTTCCAATCAGAGATGAACTACTCATATCAGAGGGAGGGGAAAAGTCACTAGAAACTTGGGCAAATCCTTTTGTAAGAATATCCAACAGAAGACTCCACAAAATTTCCAGGTATTCAAGAGTTCTGTTATTAGCTCAGCTAAGAAAAGCCTTTAGAAAACAGTTTTGGGTCCCCTTCATGGGGTTTAGTCAGAGTTTTAACTTCTTAGGACTTTTTCAAATCTTTCCTTCTGGACAAAGTTAATTGCCTTTGGTTGACATTTTCGTCTGTATCCTGCATCACTTTTAAGATTGACGTCTGTTTTTCTCAGACTAGAACAAGTATACTGGATTCCAAGAAACAACATCCATGTTTTTCAAGTTCTCCAGTGTCACTATCTCCTTATATATCTGTCACATAAAACCACAGACTTTAGGTTTCTGGTGGTGAGAAAAGCTAGTCTTGCTGCTCAGATTGGAGACTGATCATTTGTCCTCGTATCTAGGGGCCCAGCCTAATGAAGAGGGCCTGGGCCAGAAATCTCACACGTGACTTCTCCTTCATGTACTCATGCAAGCTCTTTATGAGGCTTGAGGGTTTCTTACCTTGTTCTCTCTGCCGAGTCCCTCTACTGCCAAGATAGACATTGCCTTCTTAACTTCGCCAGCTTATTTTGAGAGGTGAGGGAAAAAAGTATACACCGAGTCAAAAGTGCCGTGGAAATGAAAATAAGGTGTTCACTCTCCTATCCGCATCAAGAGTTCATCTTTTATCTTCCTTTGCATTACAGACTGGTCAGTCCAGATGGGGTGGAGCAGAGAAGGAAGGGCCATGAGAGATGAGAGGAGGCGTCCAGCAGGAAGAAAAGATAGACTAACCCGTGTTGACTTGTTTCTCCATGTACTGATTTAGACCTCTTATTAATCAGAAGACTCCTGGATCCAGAATGTTTTTCTCTGAAAAGAAAATGAATTGCCAAATTATAAAACTAGGACAATGAGATGGGGAGATTTCTTACCTATGATTTGACTGTGGGTTACCTCCTCCTCCCCATGTTTGTCCTTTGAGAGTCAGAACTGCTCTGAAATTTAATAGATACAATAGATAACGGAGCCCAACTTGCTTCTGGGCAGTTCTATAGGACCCACAGCACTCAGCGCCATAGTTAAGTACCACCCTGTGCGGCCTGTGGCTTTGTGCCCACTGCAATAACGAAAGCAACCGATAACTTCCTGCTCCTAAAGACAAAGCATGCGCGTGCCTCAGGTTCGTTGGGGCGCCCTTGTGTTCCTCCCCCAATGTAACTAGTGCTTCATCAGTGAGCCAGGACGGTGCAGGCAGAGATTGTTTTCTATTTTATTTTTAATGTTCCCTCTAGGCTCCAGACTCACTGGAGACATCCTGACACAGAATGCTTTGCCCAGCACAATGTGATGCCCTTTACCTAGTAAAAGAGGGAGTCTCATAAAGGTGCTGCCTTCCCCTCAGAACAAACAACGGAAATGCATCAGGAGAGCTCAGCTGCAGACAGAATGCACATCGTGGAGTGGGAGCCACCACGGGATTCCTCAGATGAAAGCCAATTTCAATGAACATTGTGCTTCACAGGCTGCTTCCTCTTGCTCAGTAAGAGCTGCAGAAGGAACATCCCACTTGCGTCTGCTGACACAAAAGAATGCTGTGGCTAGGAGATCTTATCAAGCCTTCCTGTGCCACAGTAACAGAGCTCCAGTTGTGTCTTATAAGAATTGCTCATTGTTTCACGGGGATGACTGGCTCCTTGGGGTGGGATCTGATGGCAGGTCAGGGAGTGGAGGTAGGTGGTACAGGAGGGGGTCAGCCAGCCACGTGACCCAGATTGCTGGCTCTGGGGAAGTCAGCTGGAGGAGCGGGCTGCACCCAGGTCTGCTGAAGAGCTAAATCTTTGAAGTTAAAATATGCGTATGCCTTCTACTTACTAGTGTCTTCAACAGTGTAAATAGAAGTGATGGTCAGGGTTTCTCCTTGGTATACGCTCTTCCTTCTCTTTTCATCGAGTCATCTAAAGCTGTTTGATCCTGGTAAAATAGAAGAGAATAAAGGAGAATTGTTTTGAAAACAGAAACGTATTCACTTAAAACCATCTCTGGACAACTTCGATGCGAAGTAAACGTTTTAGTGCGTATGTTATGAAGTCAGAAATCTGTACTTGTTTTATGAGGATGAAACTCAGGTTTAACATCATCACATTTATGTTTAAGAGTATAAGTTAATAAATTGAATTAACTAAATTTGGCCAATTCGAGATGTTTCCTTTGCTTAGAAAGTTCATGGCTTCCCAGTTTAGGCTTTTTCTTTCTTTCTTTCTTTCTTTCTTTCTTTCTTTCTTTCTTTCTTTCTTTCTTTCTTTCT